GAAGAAATGATAACTTTTTGTAACAATGGATGGATGTGGGGCTCACAGAATCAGAACAGCTAGTGTCACCCAAAGAAGTTGAAGACAGCAGAGGAGTTACATTTGCATTGTGTCACAATGGAATAACTGAAAAATGAGGCTGGAGAAAAGCATCAAAAACAAAGGGGAAGTACTGGCAGAGTGGCTCAAGTAGTAGAGCGCTTGCCTAGCAAGTGTGAGGCCTTGAGTTCAATCCCCAGTACCGCCAAAAAGCACAACAACAACAACAAAACCCAAAGGGGAAGCAAGTGCAAAAGCCCAGGTTATTATAAATGACCTGATATGGGAGGGGGAGAAAATCTGGAATTGGTAGCAGGATTGAGCCTTAGGAAGATCTGAGGACGGCACTATAGAGAGCCTGGAACAAGACTGTGAAAGATCTCTGTGACTAGAGCAAGAACTGAATCTCATTTTTAAGAACTAGGCACTGAGAAGGTTTCAGGCAAGAGAAAGACACACTATTTTGAAAGATAATTCTAAGGCTGGTATGAGAATGGGCTGGGAGGTGCCAAGGCATGGGGGTGGGGGGACTGAGGAGCGAAGTACCCACTGATGTGATGGTGAATAGCCAGGCTGTGGACAGCACCAGATTGCCTACAGACTCCCCTTAGAAGGGCTGGCCCTGGGCCGCTACCAGCCAGCAGTGTTGTGTTGCAAAGTAGGAAAAAAAAGGTCCCCGTCTTCCAGTTTAGCCCCACATTGGGGCACGCTCAACTGGGCAAACAGCACAAGCTCAGTTTTGACTTCTACTTATCCATCCTAATGGTCAAGTACATTTGTGCACTCCTGTTCCCTGAGCACCTGGCTGGACAGAGGCAGTGCAGGGGCCAAGGGCAGGGTGCATGTGGCATGGTCTCCCTGGTATCAATGGACAACTGTAGAGTCTGATGGGTAAGGACAGGCACTTGGGTACACAGCCAAACATGGCTTCATGACCCTGATCAGGTTAATTTCAAATCTCAATTTCCTTATCTGCTACATGGAAACAAGAAAAATATCTAATGTGCAATTGGCACGTTACCTATTAATAGTTCTGCTACTAATAATGATAAACGGGAGAGCCCGTCTATATGGGAAGGGGCTGTTTGTGCTCTCAAGCTAACTCTCAAGTGGGAAGAAAACTTATTCATAGATATACAGCAGCAACAGGAACTGTGGGCATCACAGCTCCAGAGAGATTGGCTATCTACTTACTTCATCGTGCAGTTTGGTGACACGTGTTGATGTACAGGGCCACTGGAGGAAGCCACTGGGCTCCTCAGCCTCCCACCCCACCCAGTCTGGTACTTCCTGGTACCTACTTCCTTTCTCCAGTCTACTTTTCCTTTCCTACTCCATCCTTCCTCCCATGTTGTCCCCCCACTGATACTCCCTTGCCCTCTCCCTGGAAGGAGGTGTGGGGCGGGGACATTTCCCAGCATTTTTGCTTCTGGAAGTCTCTGGGCAGTGATAGAAGTGGGGAGAAGCCACCTGGGCAGGGAATGATTCTGCACAGGGGGCCTTGTCCACCAGGCCAGGTAGACTTTCTGGGGAAGGAACAATGCCTGCATAAAGTGCCAAGCAGCTGGGGCAGAGAGAAGAAGGAAAAAGGAACAGCAAGAGGAAACATGGTTCTGAGTCTGTCTAGGTAAAGACCAAGCTGGGTGAAGGACAAGGTAGAGACCAGCTGAGAAAAGTGGGTGGTCTGCTTGGGCTATTTTTGTAGCATGAACATCAGGACATTTACCAGGCTGAGAAAAGAAAAGAAAAAAGTACAAGTGGCAGCAAGGGTGACAGTCGGCCAGGCAGATCTAAGTGTCTCTGCGAGGTTACTTTCTCAGAGAGGCCTTCCCAGAAGCCCAGTTGGAAAGACTACTTACCCCGGCACCTCGCTACTGTCCTCTGCTTCCTTATTCTGCCTTGTTTCTCTTCATAGCATTTAGCACTGCCTACAAGCAGATACGTATTTACCGTCCATGTTCCTGTTCTCCAGTGGACTTTGTCCAACTCTGTGTATTTTTAGCACCTAGACTGTTGCCTGGCACATAGTAGGTCCTTAGTAACTGCTCCGAGTAAGAATGAATGATGTCACCATCTTTACTCAGAGAAGAGTGCTTACTCTCTTCCCAGTGTCTGAACTAAGTTCTTGCTATCTCCAAGGGACACGAGTCACCCTCCAGTTCAGCAGAGTGTAACAGCACTTCATTTTTCTCAGGAGGGTACTCAGCCAATGAAATGACATCACAAAGATTGTCTCTTGACATCACATGGGTTGTGCAGCTAGGGAGGGACGCTGGCTTCGTCCGACTCTAAGGGCAAGGACCTTTTGTCCCAGGAGGTGAGTTAACAGGTCCAGACAGGAGGCAAAGAAAGACACTGTTCTTTTTCATGCCCTAGGTAGGAAGCACTTTCCTACCTAGCACCTCCATATCAAGAAGGGAATGAAGGGGTCTGTGAACTTGACTGCAAGAAACCTGGGAAAAAAGTGAAAACACTGTAACTTACAGATTATATGTCCAAAAAAGCCACAGAATCTACAAAAGTGCATTTTTATACCCAAACCAGGGATTTCATGCAATATTCACAATATTATATCTATCTGTGTACATGTACATGGTTTTTAAGCTGCCCATGTATCCGGCTTGTAGATAGAATATTTCACATTTTATGCCAGCTATAGACTTTTGTTTGTAGGCGTCCTGTGCTGAATCTGGGCACTGATTCCACGTCTGAGTAAATATGCCCCTGGTTTTAATAAGCACCTTGAGGGAAGGCTGTCATAGCATGGATCTTCTGCCATTCAAGTAGCTCGAAGACTTAATGCTTGTCACATCTCAGGCCTCAGTTTCCCAACTCTGATTCGAAGAGTTTGCATTAGACAGTACTACATTTTCTTTTAGAGCAAAGGAATCAATGATTCAATTAATTTTTTTTTTTTTGCAGTACTGGGGTTTGAACTCAGGGCCTACACTTTGAGCCACTCCACCAGCCCTTTCTTGTGATGGGTTTTTATCAAGATAGGGTCTCGAAAACTATTTGCCCAGGCTGGCTTCTAATTTCGATCCTCCAGATCTCTGCTTCCTGAGTAGCTGGGATTGCAGGAGTGAACCACTGGTGCCCAGTCAATTAATAATTTTATATGAGCACTGTACAGCTTTTCCTTCCAGAGGGTAGCATGATCTATGACGTCACCGTATGTGGGACATATATTTATAGACTAGTCCATGTTCAAGGTTAGAAAAGCATCCAATACCTCAATACGTGGATATGTTTAAAGTTCTGTTTTTGTTTTGTTTTACTAGTTCCTTTCTAATAAATTGAGTCCATGAAGACATCTCACGCTCATTACTTTTAGACAGATGCTTAAAATAAAGGGCAGGACTTTATTGGATACCTTTATTTATATGCAAAACAGCGCACCATTCGTGAGATATGAAAACTCGTCAGATAGAAACCAGATTATATCTATTTTCACTACAAAATATTGTATTATATAAAGCAACAGAGACACAAAAACCCTGAAAAACACTAAAATCTTTGGATAGCAGATGTGGTTCCCCCTCTCCTTGTCTCTAAAATACACTTCTTGCTTTAAGAGTTTCACAGCTGAGAACATGAAACATTTTCAGGATATAGACTTTTTTTTTTTTTGGTTGTCACAGAGCAAAGTACTTCTGAATTTTTTTTTTAGGAAAATAACTTAATTTCCTAAAATCATCCCACGCACAAACATCACACACACACACACACACACACACACACAAAGAAGCTACTCTTCTTATAGACACTTTGTAAATTACTTTCAGACATAACTACAGATAAGAATACAACACTTACTTTTTTAAAAAACTATAATAGTGAAGTGCTAGTGTTGCTGACCTCACAACAAAAGAACCTTTCAAGAACAAGCAGCTTAATATATAAAATATGTTTAGAAACAGGGAGAGTGAGTAATTTCTTATACAAGTGTAATATAATTAGAGCCAAAAGAAAAAAACCACAGTATAATCTCAACAAACATGTAAAAAGTTAGACGTGATTATTCCACAGGAAAAAGTGTAAACACTTGACTATAAATAAATTGGCACAGAGTATCCAAAGTAAAATTATCACCACTCTGAAAAATAAATGTCTTGAAAAAAATACTCTACTCCTTCAACATAAATAAAAATAGGCTGTCTTTCTCTAACTGCACCTATGGGTCCACGTTTAAGGTCACAAATAGATGTTTTTGGATATATAGAGGGGCACTTTGCCTGAAGAAGCGATCACACATTAAAATTTCCATTTAGATATGGACTTTCTGGTTCACCTCACTGTCCTATCTTGGGGTTAAAAATATCACCAAGCTCAAATCCTCCCACAATGTACCTGTTTGTTCTCAAGGTGTCTTTTTAACCTTACCAAATAGCCAGGGTTTGTTTTATTTGGATTCTAATATAAACTTTCTTTTGACAAAGGAACAAAAAGTTTTCTGTTCCACCCTTCTATGTCTTAATCTCTGTATGAAAGAGATTTCCTCTTCTTCCTCTCTGCCCAACGTTTGTTGATTTGTCAATTAGAAAAATCTCAGGCAGCCTAAAGTTAGGAGCCTGTACTGTGAGCTTCTACCCTCATTCTTTCAAAACATGAAGACGTGTAGGAGATAAATATAGGAGAACTCAGTCTCCAGTGGGTTAAAGCAACAACCCTACAGGGGATCCTAATACAAGGAGGGGGGCCCCAGGGCGGCCCATGTTGGGCGCCTCGAGAAGGTTCTTCTGGCCTGGAAAACAGCCCTGGCGAGCCCCAAATCTCTCCTGCCACCCCCACCTCCCAGCCTCAGAAACCTTCCCCCGTCGCCCTGCTGACCAGAGAGAACAGGCCCGCGAGCTTCTTCCCGCCTGCAAGTGTCTCCGGGCCGCTGTCGCCTCTGCCATCTCGGAGGCTGCCGCCCGGGTCGGTGGCATTTCGCCGACGCCAGGCCAGGCGGCCTCCGGGCGCTACACGTCCAGGACATGGTTGAGATAGGAGATGTAGCAGATGGCCAGGCGCAGGATCTCGATCTTGGAGAGCTTCTTGTCCGGGGGCAGCGTGGGCAGCAGTTTGCGGAGCTCGGCGAAGGCCAAGTTGAAGGCCTCCACGCGGATGCGCTCGCGGGTGGCGTGCGCCGAGCGGTACTTGGCGGTGGCGCGCCGGCGGCGGCGCTTCTCCTCGCGGCTCAGCTGCTGCGGGTGCGGGTACAGCGCGGCCCGGCTGCCGCCCTTGCCGTCGCCCTCGGCCTCCTCCACCGGCTCCAGGTCCGACACGCTGCCCAGCACCTTGGCGTCCGCACCGCCCAGCGACTCCGGATCGGAGTGCGCCGAGCTGGGATGATCCGAGTCGGCGGCTTGGTCCGGACTCAGCATCATTTTGGAGGCTGGATGGAAGGGGAAGGGGGTGAGGTTGAGAGTCAGAAAACGAGTCAGAAGAAGGAATCGGGGTCTCTGCTATGAGCGATGGCGACCCAGGGCCTACCACGCTGTTCCTCCCGGCAGATGCGCATCCCGGGTCCCCTCCCCATGCCCCGCTGACGCGCCGGGTGCCAGGGCCCCAACTGCGCGCCTCTCCGGGGCACTAGAGCTGGCGAGATTTGGGCGAGGGCCGGACCGCATCCCGGACAGGACCCTTGTGCCTGCCAGAGGCCAAGATAGGCCTATGGTCCTGGCGTGGGGACAACCTCAGGCCTGCGACACTGTGGCTGGCATTTGGTGCCTCCCCCTGGCCAAGCACCCGCTGCGTTATTCCGCCTCCCTCACTTGGTCCCCTTTCCCAAACGAATGAAACGGAAGGATGAATTCATCTGGGTCTTAATAGGGCGGAGAGACGCGGGGTGTGCTTCCCTCCCCAGGGCCTGGGGTGCACGGAGGCGCCGGGACGCGGGGACGCGGGCGAACTGGGGGTCCCCATCCCAGAGCGCAGGCGGAGAGCAAGCGGCCCTGGGAGGGAAGGCGTCCCCGGAATAATAAAGAAATGACCGACCAAACGTGTAGGCTCCTTTCAAAAGAAAATTGACTTCTATGCCCTCGCACACTTCCGGAGCACCATCTGTCACACCGACAGCCACACACATAGGGGACCTAGGGACGCAGCGACATGGGATAACACAATGCCCGCCAGGCTGCCGACCACCTTGCGGGCTGCGGGAGAAGAAGCCGGAGAGGGAAGGGGTGGGGATGGAGGGTGAGGATGGGGACAAGGGACAGTGGCAGCAAAGTTCTGGAGCTCCCGGGACCGCAGCTCGGCAGCGCTCCGCTGTCTCCGGGAGGCCTGGTCGAGGCCCAGCGTCTGCTCTTAGCTTTCCTCTCTCGGTGCCTTCTGAAAAAGCCACCTCCCTGGCTGCTCCCGGGCGTCTGGAGGCGAGGGCCCCGAATGCGCGCCTTCTGGGAGGGGACCGCTCGGAACCGCCTGGCTTCGGCGGGATTCGGGCTCCAAGAAAGGGGCCAGCAACGGGAGAAAGGCACCTGCCGGGGCTGCGTGTCCCAGCCGCGGAAGGGACACCCGACTGCAACCCCTTGTCACCCAAGCAACACCAGACTGCAGGCCAGTGCCACCCAAGCGACGCTGTGCATAGGAGAAACCAGCGTAGGCGACACGTAGGAAGTCTGGCTCCTAAAGAAACAAAAGCAGGGGATGTAGCCGCGGTTCCCGGCACTGCACTTGGCCTCTGAGCGAATTGGGCTCTAAAACAGCTTTTCGCTTCCGTGCAAGGAAACAGGTCCTCTTAGGCAAAATAAAAAGCAAATGCTCCAAGTGAACTGCGTGGGACTCCCCGCGGGCTTTTCTCGGGGACGTTTATTAGTAAAACAACTTGTATCTACACACTCGTCATCAAAGGGCAGAAATACACGGGTGAGTAATGGCAAGTCACAAAGCCACGACACTACATAGTTGTAGTTCGGATAAAAAGTTGCTGGGGTGCCCTCAAAGCACGTTAAATTCTCCTCCAGATAGCTTGTTAAAATATTCATAAATCGTAGGTCGTGAATGCGTTTTTATTGCTTTAAATACGGGCTGAGATGCATCGATAAAGGCAATGAGAATGAACTTAGTTTCAAGCTGAAAAAAAATGATTTAAAAGGAGTCTTACCTTGTCAAAGCCCTTTCGGTAATCTTTTCTCCAATCTTTTAGAGTTAAAATTCCAGGGAACAGCGAGGGGGAAAGTCCGGAAAATGTTAAAAGCAGCAAATATTTATTACATTCAAAAATGGAAAAGCAGAGGTCATCTCGCCAGTGGCCACAGCCAGGGACAGATGATATCTCAAGATGTGGGTGACAGGAGTGAGTGTTTACTTAGTTGATTAGATCAAAAAACGCCTTTTCCTTTTAATCGTTCTTAAACAGTTTCTAAAATTCGTTGTTGATCTTTTTTTAAAATGATGTGTTGAAAAGTGTCATGCTTTTTCTCTCCCTCTTCTAGGGCTCTATAAATAACAAAAGAGATACAGAGATAAATACAATCCCATCAAAGAGCTGATTCCTCCAGTTGCTAATAGCGGAATAATCAATAAGAAAGATGATTAAGATAAGGTTTGCTCCTGGAGGACTCCTTTCCTTCCCTTAATAGGAGGGAGCAGAAACTGGCAGAGGCTGGGCAGAGATGCTATCTTGCTCAGAACTGATTTTTTTTTTTTTCCCTGCGATAAGGCTTTGTTCAGCTGATGTCTCCCTAGCTCCTGGGAACACAATACTGTAACTGGGAGCTAAGGTTACCTCTTCCTTGGCCTTCATTTATGGTGTATAAACAGACACCTATTTTCCAGTTTCAAAGTCTTTCAAGGCTTAGTTACACCCCCACACACACACACCCCACCCTTCCTTGCTTTACCTTGTTGCAAAATACATATGGTCAGTGGCTTGGAGATGCTTGGAGAATGGTTGATGGAAACTCCTGAAGTGACAGTGACAGGGAAGCAGAGAAAGACAGAAGAGGATGGGAGAACCAGAGCTCGGAGGCAGGCTGTGTGTATGCGGCTTCTTGGCTCTCTGGTACCAATTGATTCAGCCTGGAGATGCTGGAAGAGATAAAGGCTTAAGGAGGGGGATGGAATTTTTTCCCCCTAAATTGATATTTAATGGGAAATCCTATTGGACAGAAACCTGGACACGAGTCACTTAATTGGACTTGACATCTGTCACAGTGTGGGAGTTTTCACAGCCCAAATATTTTAGCAGATCAGATTCGCACTGAATCTGTGCCATAAAAGACAACAGTTGAAAGCAGTCCATGATAGAAACATAGCCTCTAAACAGAGTATCTAGCCACAATCAGGCATGTTCTTGTTTTCAAATTATCGATGCACTCTCTAAGTGCAAATAAGCAGTACATTGACGGTGGAAAAATTCCTCTGGCGTATTACAAAACCAACATCTTTCATTAATAGTTAGAAAATATTTGTGTCCAGCCCACGGAGATATACTTTATAAGAAGCTACAATTAATAGAAAGTACTCATATATGCAAACGCTAACATTTCTTAGAGATCATTTACATTTTAACAGACAACAGGTTTGATTAAGCATATTGATGTTTCTGAGAGATATCCTGCTGTGAGACTAACTTATTAGTAGGTGCTTTCAAAAGACCTCTCGATGCATTAAATTATTAGTGAAATAGAAACAGAATCCAGGTATTCAGGGATCTGAGACTCACGATATGAGATGATTCTACTTTTCTGATCCTGTTTGTTTTTCTCTTTGCCAGCTCATTCGTTCAACTTAAAATATGACATTCTACATGTGTTGATCATTGCACTTCCTTCTTGTCTCTCTTTACATTCAAATACATCTAGCTGTGCAGCAGTGTACTGGACTAGGGTGTAAACACACACAAATCACTAGAATATTCCAGCAAGTAATGCCTTTGCCTTACATGACCCCCCCCCCCGACCCTGAATCTGCTTTATAACAAAGGGAAAATCCATTTCCATTATTTTGCCACTTTGTAGAGACACTCTTAGTAACTGTCATTGCAGTTTTTTTTTTTTGCTGTCAATTACTTATTGTCAATTACAACATCAACTATATATTCTTTGTGATCATTTTAGGTTTTGAGGGATTGGTCAACCTTAAAAGAAATAAGAGTGCTATACTCTTCTCCCCACCTCCCCAATTCCTAGGGGGTCATCTGTGGGAAGAAATCTTTACTTTCCTCCTTTATCAGTTTTGCCCTAAAAACAGGTTTTCTCATCAGAGGAAGAGCATGGAGCCACCCTCAGGAGTGGGTCCTGCAGACGTTTTTCTTCTCTGGGGGATACGTGGACCAGAAAGGGGCAAAGGTGGGAGAGAAGAGAAAGTGCTTCCGAGGAGAGGGGAGAGATATCAGCCACTGCTCAGCTTGGCCTCTGCCCAGCCCCAGTGTACTTTAGAAGTGTATTTTAGAGTCTCCAGGATATACAAGTGAAGGCAGTAGCTGGTCCCCCAGGTGGCGATGGTGAGTGGGTCAGCTCTCCAAGGAGGTGAAGATGAAGGGAGAAGGAAGGTTCCCTGTCTGCATAAGAACAGCCAACACCAAGCACACACACACAACCCAAGTGTGCACACTGACACACCCCCACAGATACCTGTACCTCCTCACCCCATGCCCCACAGCAGACGGCTACATAGTCAACCAATGCATTGAAAACCCTGGTGAGTCTAGTCACCTGGCTCTAGAGGGCCAGCTGCTAGAGTAGGAAGGGACCAGTGTGTCTGGTTACACTGGTGTGGGGGTGCACACGTCAGAGCCAGCCCAATGCTGCTATGGTGCCTGTGAATTCAGGCAAAGTCTCTTTTACAATCAGATTTATGCATTCCACATTGAGGGGCTTATTATTCATAAATTAATACTTAGGAGGGTAAGTCTGTGTAGGAACACATTTAGATCCGCACAGAGCCGAGCCTGGCCACACATCATAGACACCGTGTGGACTCACACGCGCACACATATGTGTTTCCTCCAGGAAACCTCCCCTCCCCCACTTTGCCTCTCTAAGACCTCCAGGCACAGATGCCCCTCCGACTGTGCTCCACAAGCCCTCTTTTCACATCTCCCTCAGAGGCGACAGCCTGTGCACTGGGATTCTTGGTTTCCATGTGTCTCTCCCACAGGCCGTGACACTTCCAGGAAAGATCTGTGGTTATATGTGTCAAGCTCTGAGGGCTAAGCTTGACACCTAAGTGCTCAGTTCATTTATGGTGATTGACTTCTGGTGTACTGAGACACCAGGACATTTGTCACACAGAAACAATGCCACCCAAGACACCCATCGTCCCATTTATGTTTTCTATCCTATAAATGTAGGGCCAATACCCTGTTCTTGTCACTATGGAGGCTTTGAAACTCAATGAAGGTGAAAGTATTTGATAAAATGCTAAGCACCGTGACAGTTTGGATATTATCAAGGTACAGGAGTAGTACTGGACAATATTAAACCAATGAGGAGATTTTAAAATGTCTGTGTGTTTGATTATAAATGATTTTAAAAGCCAGACTTCCTGGCTCTGTCATATGCCAGCTATGTGAACTTGGACTGTGAGTTACTCAGCCTTTCTGGACCTCAATTTTCTAATCTGTAAAATGAGACTAATGAATGTATGTCATGTCCATATGGCTTTTTCCCCTGAAAGTGAACAAGAGAGTGTATGCCATTAAATCTCAGACTGCTGAAATCTCAGACTCCATAAATGTCGGCTATAAATATTATTAAATATTACTATTGTTGTTGACTTAATAGAAATATATTTTGAGAAGTAGATATATATTTAGATAGAAATATATGTATGCCCAGATATGGCCAGCAAATCCTATGTGTCCACTCACCCTACAGTGAGTACCGTCTTTGAGTCACACAATAGAAGTGGGGACTTTTTACATTAAGTAATTTAATCTTCACTACAAACCTGTGATGTAGCTTCTGTAGCTATAAGGAGCCTGTGACATGGAAAAGACTGCCATTTAGTCAAGGTCATGGAGTTGAAGGTCATGTAGATGATAAGTTACTGGGCCAAGGTCTAGACTCAGGGACCTCGATTCTGATGCTGTACATTCAACCACCACTCCTTCGGTGGTCACAGGGTGTCCCCAAAGACACTCACACAAAAGAATTAGGCACCAAGTGAGGGGGATATGCCCAGGGAGAAACACGTCTGCACAAAACATAGATGGCTTGCCCCTTTGGGATTCAGGGGTGGTCAGCAAGTCCACCCTGCTTTAAACCCTTGTGTACAGCCGTGTTGCACCAGCTACTGTTGGGTACAGAGGCATGGAATTATTTGTTAATTCCATTAGACAGTGTTTTCCCATCCAGTATCTTGGTTTGCACCCATCAGTAAAATTTTGGGCACCTACATCCAGTGTACGCATATTGATTCTCAATAAACTTTATACATGCACTGATGTGTGCCAGCTCTATAATCACAGACACACAAAAGCATTTCTTATTTATTTATTTAGCAGTAACAGTGTTTGAACTCAAGGTCTCAGGCTTGCTGGGCAGACACTGTACTGCTTGAACCACCCCTCCAGCCCTTTTTGCTCTGGTTATTTTAGAGACAGGGTCTCTATTTTTGCCCTGGTTGGCCTGGAACCATTGTCCTCCTATTTTATGTTTCCACTGGGATGGCAGGTGGACACCACCATGCCCAGCTTTTTTCTGTTAAGGTGGGGTCTCATGAACTCTTTTCCTGGGCTGGCCTGGAACCATGATCCTCCTAATCTCAGCTTTCTAAGCAGCCAGGGTTCCAAGCGTGAGCCACCACTGCCTCAATAGACAAAGGACATGTACATGATAAGAAATAAAACTAATAAAATTTATGGAGTAATTAATTTTATTTATTAGCAGTATAAAATCTATTAACAGCACAATATATTATTACATTTTTTAGAGCAATAGTCTTCATTTTAGTAAAGTAATCGTTGAACCCTTTGTGATCATGATGGTCTGGTTTTAAGCTCAGTTTATTAGAGCCCAGTTTTTATGGCCAATACAGCAGAGAAAGATATAAAAGTTAACATGTTATCAGAAGAATTATTAATGTGTGAGGTGATGGATATGTTAATTGGTTTGATTTAATCATTGCACAATATGTGTGTGTCTATCAAAACATGGTGATGTACACCACTAATGTGTACATAAAAATATTATTATAATAATAAAAAAAGGTAGAAACAACCCCAAAGTCCATCAGCTGCTGAATGAGTAAACAAAATGAGATATGTCCACACAGTGGAATATTACTTGGCAATGAAGAGGAACAAAGGACCTATACATGCGGCAACGTGGATGAACCTCAAAGCCATTGTGCTGAATGAAAGAAGCCAACACAAAAGACCACATGCTGCAGTGTTCCATTCATAGGAAAGGTTCGTGTGACTGAGAGAGCAGGTGCACAGAGCCAAGAGGGGACAAGTGACTGCTAGCAAATGCAGTGTCACTTAGCATGATGTGGTGTTCTAAAATGAGACTTGGGTGATGATATTGAAACTTGTTGGGTTTTTGAGGAGTGGGATTTGAACTCGGGGCCTCAAGATCTCTCCCACTTGAGCCAGTTCCTCAGCCCTTTTTGCTTTAGTTATTTTTCTGATAGTGCCTTGCCTCAATCCACTGTCCTCTAACCTGTATCTCCTTCATAAGAAGGC